TATGAGAACTAGAACATAAGGAAATAACCTGCTCATATGAAACATCAATTAAATCAATCGCCTGAGTCATTTGATTCATCCCTAGGTCACCTACTGGTGTTGGAGCAGTTACTCCACCGATTATTTTTGGAGCACAGAATGCATAAACCTGTTGGAAGAACAAAAAAAAATCACCAGTGTGAAGTTGTAAGCAGAGCTCAATCATAATATGGCATACAACATGCACACAGAGTCAGAGGCAAAAAGAAAAAGACCAAACCTAATAAAGTGAAACCACTTAATGCACATATGGGGACTGACTGATGTTCAAGGTGCATGGTGGATATAAGATGCTTAGGGAAGTGAATGCAGATAGACTATCCCTACGATTCTGTGAGTCCCCTCCCAGAACTTACGTCCAAAGTGTGGTCCCTCCCCAAAAGTCACTAAGCAATAGTATGTTTCTCCCTGATATAAAGCATGTCTACATAGTGCTGAAATGGGTAGCATCTGCATACCCAAGTCATAAGAATATCCTTTTAACATTCTTATTCTAGAAGACGGGAAGCTGATTAAGCTGAAGTGAAAATCAACTGCAAAGACATTGAACATAACTTGTTCACCAATTCAACTGATAACATGAAATCCATATATCATTCAGATTTGGTAGTGGAAATCAACACAACTGTACAATTTCACCTAACAATTCACAAGATAACTCTATCAACTTTTTAACTGCAATGGAAAATGGAACAGTGTCTTAACATTGCCAGGTTTGATTTCAGATCCAGAACTCAATGAACTAGAACAAACAAAGGCAGCCAATAAACATTCTGGAGAACTATGCAATATGTTCAATAGATAAGTAAATGCACGCGGCAACCATATAGTGAAAGAAAAAGTATTTACCTTATGAATAACTCTTGCAGATATAGCAGCAGCTGATAGGGTCCCACCGCACTCCCATAATACAGAAAGGTAACCACGATCATAACAATATGACATAACATCTCTAGGATTTAGCATGTCAAATTCCACTACTTCAACACCCTTCATAGCAAGCTTCTTTTGGAAATCTCTCCGAGCACCTCTTTGTGTTGCAACTATTGTATAGGCCTCATGAACATTCCATAAATTTGCTTCTTCAGGAAGGTTACAAGTTTGTGACATTACAATGCGCACTGGAACATGCCCCTTGACATGCCTTGCAGTTAATCGAGGATCTACAACACAACTAAAAGCCTCTCAATGCTATGAAGGAACACCAATGTGAAACACACTAAATAGAATTTATTGCATTATTTCTTCATTACCATCACGGCGAACTGTATTCCCACCAACTATAACAGCATCACTTCTTCCACGCAATTCAAATACTCGGCCTCTGGATGCTCTGCCGCTTACCCAAGACGCATGCCCACTACTAGCTGCAATTTTTCCTGTCATTTCCATCGATGGAAGTGAAGCAAGTTGCAAGTTGGATATTAATACTCAGCTGTAGTATGTAACAAATTAACCATACTAAAAGAGCAAATGGAAAAAACTAGGCCTCACCATCTGCAGTCATAGCATACTTCAGAACAGAGAATGGAACACGAAAGGCAGCTCGGTAAAGTAATGGAGCATTTACGATGAGGCATGAAGTAAGAGCTTCCTACAGTGAACACATGAAAACATATTAGCAAGCCGGCTAAGTTCATGTTTCTCTGCACTGTAATGTTCTTATATGAAAAGCTGGTGGGGAACAATAACCATGATCTATTGCTATGCCAAACGACTTCTAAGTAACCAGTACCTAATGCACAGGAAACTAAAAGAGCTAACTGATAACATATATTCTGAGATGCTTACTAGGTTAAACATGAAAACACATTAGAAAAGAAAAAGGAAGGGGTTTGTAGGTGCTCCAAGACTCATAACAAAAGAAGTGAAGTGAATAAATGAGAGGTGGAATTAAAAATCTGCCTAAATCAAGACTGCCAATACAATATATGCATACAACCATGAAATAAAATTAAATCATTATGCTGCATTGTATTTTGCATTCAGTAGGGGTGCTGACCCTACAGCTTAAAAGGGCATCAAGGAGCTCTTAGCTTTGGTGAGATGCTCAGTATTTGTTAGTAATTATACTCGAAATTTTAGACACTTTGGTGAATCAGTTGTCTTTGTTACATTCTATCTTGCGACAATGCGCACATCATATCCATATTGCTTAAGTCATGGAGCAGGAGTAGTCCCCTATGGGCTGCAAATAATGCATGATCTCAGATATAATCCTTTTGTATTCACTCTTTCCAATATGCTATAAATGAAGTTAATGAACTTGAATTTCTGGTTAAACTCAGATAGATCAATAGAAGTGGACACTACGAGATTCGCATTTGTGTTAAAGATAATCTAAGAACATAAAAAAACAACTTCTATCATTAGTGTCAGCTGTCACATCCACAAACTATAACCGTACAACGCATGATCTTACAAAGCACGGTTGCATAGTGATTTAGATCCAATGGTTACTCAAAGTACAGCATACAAAATATTTCTGGAACTTCATGTCCAGTTGTGTGCTTTTCTTTAGCATTCATATTGCAGAAACAAATATTTGCACTTTTAAATTGTTAAACCACTTCTAAAAATGGTTTCTAGTCTAGAGAAAAATGATGCAACAGCACTACAAGGTAGGGTGCCCCTCGCAAAGTGCTTACTGCTACTTTGCCTTGTAGCTAATAAAAATAGTAACTGAGAATGAAAATATAAGCCAAGAGTCACCTTGAACAATTTGCTCTGGAGATCTTCCCCCACAACATCGACCTGAATGCCTTCACTTCGCAATGATTGAATCGCTTTCCCTCTCAAGTGCTTCAAGGGATGTCTAAGGCCCACCACAACTCTTGTGATTCCTGCCTGATAAAGTCATTAGTTTTCTCCCTGCATTTAGGACATCTTTTTACACAACTATTCAGAATCACTCTGAATGCGTATGACTAAATTATCAATAAAGAAGGTTGAGCAAAATATATTTCTAGTTTTATCAGTGTTCATGCGAGCAAGCTCACGACGATCAAAACCTCCTAATTGGGACACAAAAATGGGACCCAATTTGCAGACCCTTATATTGTCATCTTCAGTAGAATAATACTCTGCCACTGCAACATACATAGAAATTTAGGGGGTTGAGATAAGGGAGAGCAAGTATCGAGCATCATGGCTTATTATACCCATAGAACCTACACTATCTATGACAGATCAGAATTATGCTTGCAGTACTATTCACATTTGGTTTTATAACAATCTTCAGAGATATACTACTAGCAACCTTGTTAGGGAAATCGAAAGGGGACAGTGAAGGGGGGGATTCATTCAGGCGAGCACCTGCACGAGGGAGGAGACGGCGGTGCTGTCCCCGTAGCAGTCCCCCGGCTCGAGGTTGAGGTAGGCGGTGGCGCCGCGGGCGCGCTCGCCGGCCTCCTCGGCGGCGAGGAGCTCCGCGCAGCGCGTGCCCTGCGCGTAGAGAAACCCCTCCCCGACCACGCGGGCCTCCGGGCCGTCGGGCTCGGGCCGGGCGATGACGCACCCGAAGTTGGGGTGCGGGCAGGTGAGCCCCGCAGAGCGGTCGGCCACGTCGGCGGCGCGGCGGAGGAACGCGGCGTCGTGCGCGTGGGAGGCCGCGACAGATACGGCTCGCGGAACGGCGTGGAGGCGGCGCCGGATGGGCGCGACGCGGATAGGGCAGGGTGCTGCCGGGGCAGGCGCGGCCACCGGCGGCCGCGGCGGCGGGGGCATGCTCGCTCTCGGGTGAGGTCGCAGGGGTATGTGGTGCGGTAGACTGGGAGCCCGAAACTGGAAAAGGGGGCGACACAGTGCGAGAGCCAAAATTGATCTTGCGAAGCCGGCCCGAGAGTGGAAGTGGAGGCCCAACTCACCCCGTACGAGCCCATGCCATGTTTTGGTCCCTTTTTAAGCTATATTCTTTCATCCCTCGAAAAAAAAGCTATATTCTTTTGTGAATGGTAATTTTATTGGTAGATCCGTTTTGGTGATCGCCGGCGTCGATGATCCGGCAACTCTAGACGCCATCACACGTCGTGAAGCTTTGTCACTTGCCGAAGATCTTCATGTGCAGAACTTGGTCATATCCTCGGACTCAAAGCAGGTCATCGCCGACATGGCGACATCCATAAGGGCCCTTCGGGCAAGTTTGGTGCAATCATCAACAAGATCAAGCTTAAAGCAGGTAATTTTAATTGTAGTTTTATTTGCAAAGGTTGACGCACACGGTCTAGCCAGGCCAGGTTCTCTCTTTCTCTTGGTCTGAAGCGTCACGTCTGGTTTGGCCAACCTCGTGATCTAATCTGTATCCCATCAACTGTGGTCTATGGTGAATAAAACCTGGTTTTTACCCCTAAAAAAAGCTATATATTCTTATGTTGTCCAAAGTATCAGTCTGCATGCCTGCCTGCTGGGCGCGCTCGTGTAGCTGCATCGGATCCGGGTGTGACAGAGAGAGCGCACATGGAGACGGAGTGCACTAGATGGGATCGTTCGTTTGGGCACGGCAGCATCGCCTCACCGGCGCCGCCCGCCCACACCTGACACCACGTTGCGTCCACATTTTTCTGGCTCGGCTCGGCTCGGCTTGGAGATGTTTTTTCTGCCTCGTCCAGCACTTCAGTTTGTTTTCTCATTCAAAAAAAAAAAAACCCTGCGTCGTCTCTCTCTCACTCTCGTGTTTCTTCTGCCTGGAATGGATCGCCGGCCGGAAGGCGCCCCGGGCCCACGCGCCAGCGTGATTCGCTGTCTGCTTTTTCCGAACGGTACCCCGCACCTGATTCCCAGAACTCGAGGGATTTGGATCCGCTTTTGCCTTTTTCTGCTCTCCTCTTCAACTAAAAAAAATTGCGGCTCTCTCCGTGGCCCCACCTGCCAGACACCGGATCGACTGCTCAGCCCCCTGTCCCTCCCACTGACGCGCGGGCCCACGACAGCCCGGTCCACCTGTCCGGCCCGCCGGTTGCCACATGCGCCAGCCCACAACCGAGTTAGAAATACCCACATCCACATCCCCCACACACACCTTCTTCTCCCCCAAAACGCACACTGCACCACCGCACACAGATCTAACCGAAACCCCTCCCCACCGGCGGCGAGCGGCGCACCGCCGGCCATCCAAGATGCAGTACAACAACCTGGGCCGGTCGGGCCTGCGGGTGAGCCAGCTCTCCTACGGGGCCTGGGTGACCTTCGGCAACCAGCTGGACGTCAAGGAGGCCAAGTCCCTCCTCCAGGCCTGCCGGGACGCGGGGGTCAACTTCTTCGACAACGCCGAGGTCTACGCCAACGGCCGCGCGGAGGAGATCATGGGGCAGGCGATCCGGGACCTGGGCTGGCGCCGCGCCGACGTCGTCATCTCCACCAAGCTCTTCTGGGGCGGCCAGGGCCCCAACGACAAGGGCCTCTCCCGCAAGCACATCGTCGAGGGCCTCAAGGCCTCGCTCAAGCGGCTCGACATGGAGTACGTCGACGTCGTGTACTGCCACCGGCCCGACGCGACGACGCCGATCGAGGAGACGGTGCGGGCCATGAACTGGGTGATCGATCAGGGGTGGGCGTTCTACTGGGGCACGAGCGAGTGGACCGCGCAGCAGATCACCGAGGCCTGGGGGGTGGCGAACCGGCTCGACCTCGTCGGGCCCATCGTCGAGCAGCCCGAGTACAACCTCTTCTCCCGCCACAAGGTACCGCCGCTGCTGCCTCGGTTATTACTTCAGTTCATCCTACATTCTGCTGTTGCTGCTGCTGCTGCTAATCTCGATTTGGTGTTTAATTAATCCATACATGAGTGGTGCTGTGCTAGTGCTGGGGTGTTAGCAATGGCCCCTTGAGTGTGTTGCTAATCTCGATTTGATGCTTAATTACTGAATCAGTAGTACTTTACTAATATACTGTATTAGCAATGATATCTTGGATGTGTGGATCGATGTGTACTTGCTGGATCTTTGACGCGCCAGTGCCAGTCCTCTTTGTTGTTTTCAAGTCCCAAAATGTGCCTTGCTTGAAATTTCTAGGGAATAACTTGATTTATTGTAGGAGTACAATTGTTTCTGCTGTAGATCATGCATCATGTTGGAGTGGATTCGAGTGGATATTCGTCTTTACTGTAGGAGTTTAGTGTACTTGGGGAATTTTCAATTGGATTCTGTAGACACCAAGTACCAGTCCTTCCCCATGTTTTTAAGTCCCAAAATGTGCCTTCCTTGAAATTCGTAGGGGATACTGTAATTTGATTTAATGTAGTACTACAACCGGTTCTGCTATACCCTAACAAATCAACTTAATTCTGTTCTAATGGTACTGATCTTAAATTAGTCCATGAGTGGTGCTGTATTAGCAATAATGAATTGGATTGGTTGGGTATATGGATCCATGTGTACTTGCTGGATCTTTGACTAGCCAGTCCCAGTCCTCTCTGATGTTTTCAAGTCCCAGAATGTGCCTTCGTTGAAATTCGTAGAGGATAATTTGATTTATTGTAGGAGTACAACTGTTGCTGCTGTAGCCCATGCCTCATGGTGGAGTGAATTCGAATGGATAATTGTCTTCTACAGTAGGCATTTAATTGACTCTCTGATGAAGTACAATTGATGGTTGGAGAGGAGTTTCCTCTGGGATCCTGTAGGCACCAAGTGCCTTCCCCATTAGAAATCTACTACTGTATTATCTAGGAGTGCATGGAAAATTGGTTCAACCTCAATTGCGCCTTTTTTTAACTCAAGGGGGCACAATTTTTTTATTTTCAGTGATGGGGACAGCTTCCCTTTTGCAACTGTAGAACATATGAGTTAGCACTTACTACAGTCAAGGGAGTTAGGTAGCATAAATCTCACCTTTCATGATTTGACGTGCATCACTTTGGAGTGGGATGGCTGATAAATTAGGTAGTGATGCTGGCTGGTATTGTTTTGTATACTCCTGCATCATTAAGTTTTCCAGGCAACAACAGCACAATGTTGATAACGAAAGGTTAGGTATAAGTTCAGACAGCTTAGGGTACACAGAAGTTGCTTACAGGGTTGTTGTTGGAACATGGGACCATTGTTTGATATTGTGTCGTTGTCGAATAGATAAAATGATATTGGTCTCAGCCAAACAGAAAAAAGGCACCACACGTCCTTGTCATAGATGATCTGTGTATTCAATTGGCTGATGCCTTTTTTTTTAAAGGAATTGGCTGATGCCTGCTTCCTGGTTAACTCAATAAGCTGCTTCCTGGTTGATCTTAAATTAGTCAATCGGTTGTAGTGGACTGGCAATGACGAATTGGAGTGGTTGGATATGTGGATCCATGTGTACTTGATGGATCTTTGACCAGCCAGTGCCGGTCCTTTCTGATGTTTTCATGTCCCAAAATGTGCCTCCGTTGAAATTTGTAGGGGATAATTTGATTTATTGTAGAAGTACAACTGCTGCTGCTGTAGCCCATGCCTCACGGTGGAGTGAATTTGAATGTATATTTGTCTTTTAGGCACTTAATTGACTCTGATGAAGTAGTGTAGTACAATTGATTGTAGGAGAGGAATTTCCTTTTGGATTCTGTAGACAGCAAGTACCATTCCCCATTAGAAATCTTCTACTAAATCAGACCATGATGCTGGCTCGTATTGTTTTATATACTTTGCATCATCAAGTTTTCCACGCAAACATCATCACATTGCTGATAATAAAAGGTTAGGTATAAGTTCAGACAGCTTAGACCACACGAAAGTTGCTTATAGGGTTGTAGTTGGCCATTGTTTGATAGTTAACCTCAATTGAATAGACAATTTGATATTGGTCTTGACCAGACATTTAAAAAAGGCACCGCTTGTCCTTGTCACTGCTGATCTGCATATTCAATTGATTGATGTCTGCTTTGTGGCTAACTCGATAAGCTGGTTCAACTTAGTAATCAAAGTTGCTTTATAAAAATCTCCTAAGCTAGTTAAAACCTTGTATTTTTAATTCCCATAAGCATTCTTGTAAGGCTTGTTTCAGATAGTTAAACAGGGGGCAGAAGCTTAGCTTAGTTAAAGTAGACTTGGAGTTTTCTGTGATGGGTAGTGGAAGTACACGCTTATTGTTTTACATAACTGTTTTGGTGATTATTAAAATTACTACACAGATTGTTGTTTGCTTCCTTGGGGGATGAACTGCCTTGTAGTTTAGCACCTCTAGCTTCTAAGAAGAAGCATTTAGTGTTAGTTATATACTTCACAGATTGTTGTTTGCTTCCTTGGAGTATTTTTTTTGCAACTCAATGCTATAGGTACTTCCGATACTCTGTTCAAAAAAAAATAGGTACTTCCGATATGTCAGCAGATCACTCATATAAAACATTCTGATAAGGAACTGCCAAAACACACATCTAGAATCGTTGTTACATTTTTGTGTGTCTTGTTTGTAATGAACTGTCGTTGGCATTCAACTAAGCAAGTATCGGCCCTGCTTTTGTCGCCGGCACAATTTGTTGATTTATGCAGGTATTTGTGTGATTGTGTTGCAAAAACTAAGAAATGTTTTGTGTTACTGCAGGTTGAGTCTGAGTTTGTACCTCTCTACAGTACTTATGGCATTGGGTTGACTACATGGAGCCCTCTAGCTTCAGGTGTTCTCACCGGGAAGTATAGCAAAGGGAATATACCTGCTGAAAGTCGGTTTGCCCTAGATAATTACAAGGTAACTGTGGAAACTTTGTCGCTGTATTCACACGTGTATTCCTGCTTTTCTTCTTAACTGCATTTAGGATAGCTGTATCGCCTCCTTAACATGACCGTTAAGAAAATAGCGATGCACATACCACTACATTATTGAGATTCCAAGTATGCTCATGTATTGTAATCCAAATCCTAACAGACACATCCATGCTAAATCAGTTTTCCTAACCGATGCATATTTCCAGGATGATCCTCACATGGATGTTGTGTTTCTCTTTCCAGAACCTGGCCAACAGGTCTTTGGTTGACGACACGCTTAGAAAAGTGAACGGGCTCAAACCCATCGCTTCGGAGCTCGGCGTCTCGATGGCCCAGCTGGGCATCGCGTGGTGCGCGTCGAACCCCAACGTGTCGTCCGTGATCACTGGAGCCACCAAAGAGAGCCAGGTACGTGCGCCACACCCACCTCTGTTCTTCATCAGATCAATTGTTTCTTTCTGCAACCAAGAGTATCAACATGTCACGGCAACAATGTGATGAACAACAGATCGTGGAGAACATGAAGGCCCTGGAGGTCGTCCCGCTGCTGACCCCGGAGGTCCTGGAGAAGATCGAGGCGGTCGTCCAGAGCAAGCCGAAGCGCCTTGAGTCATACAGATGAAGTAGCGGCGGTCGGTTTCGTCGCCGCCTGGTGGGATATTTTTCCTAGCCGGTTTATTATCTCCCTGTATCTATCTGGTTTTCTGAAACTATATACGGCTCTTTCGTGATTCTGGAGTGTTCTGCGCGGACCGTTTCTCCACTGTGTCTGCCTGCTGATGATATGGTGCCATCGTTTGCGGGCAGCGAGCATGTGGTGGGCTGGGCCTGGGATGCAAGATTTGGATGGCAGGCAGGCAGGCCAGTGTATGTTTGCTGCTGTCGCTGTATGTATGTTTTTATGCTACTTGTATGTTTGCTGCTGTCGCTGTATGTATGTTTTTATGCTACTTGTATGTTTGCTGCTGTCGCTGTATGTATGGGTCTGTTGCCAAAATTGAGCGGGAGATCAGCTGTTTTCCCATGAGGTTTCTGTGATCTAGACAGGCCCGGAGCATGTTGTCTACACATATCGGAGATCATGCGGTGGGCGTGTGCTCTCCTTCTTTCTGGCCGGCCGGCAGGGGCAGAGCAAGGGTAGCTGTTTGGTATGCTTGTGTTGGTTGGTTCAGGGGCACAACATTGCCGCAAGACTGAGCCATCTATCTACCAGCGTTTCATTCCTCCTGCGTTTTGTCAACACAACAGAACAGCACAATTCTGTCGCACAAAAAACATATATGACAGAAAAAAGAGCACATATGCTAGCACTTCACCAAGTGTAGACAGAACTGAAGGGGGCCAGGAAAAGAATAGATACTAGCTCGAAAGAAGTCACCATCAGGCAGGAGCTCCTGCTATCTCAACTAGGCACACAAGTAATCACAGCGGCTGGCTGCTCGCTGGGACGAAGCTTCATCAGAGATGATGATATATGACTCTTCACTTGAGTGCTGCCCTCATGATCTCCCTCTTGTCGAGGCCGCGGTTCTGTGGTTGGCTTGAAACCGTGGCCCTGCGGTGGCGAAAACGGGGGCATCAAATCAAATGTATAATCAGAATAAAATGCATGTCATCTGATTGCGGTGTTGAGGGCCTTTTTCGTGGTAAGACAGCGGTCGTCTTTGAAAACCCTCTAGATCAAGCTAGACGTGTTATAGACAAAAGTAACAGCGATTAAGACTCCTTTTTTTTGAATGTTTGGCTACGCGTTGATCGTAGGAAGGAGGCGAGAAAGAATCTAACCGAGACCACTGGCGTCCGATGTCCTCATGATCCTTAGCCTCTTCACGGAGCCAACAAACATTCTGCACACAAGGACATCCGGAGAATCATTCCGAGGAACTTGGAAGCTTGTAAGTACAAAACTCATTCCGAATAGATGCATAGTGCAGGGAGCTTACTCCCAAGGGACATCTCCAACAAGCATCCAGTCACCATCCCTGTCTTCGTATGTCATCTGGTATTCACAAGAGTTTTCTAACAGCTTCAGAGACTTCGTGCTATCTGACAATTCCATGTTACAAATAAGAAATGCATCAAAAGCTAGAAAGACTGAACTGTTATAAGTAGAATGCCCAGAGACGCTGCACTTCAGAAGTATAGCACCATAAATCCTAATGCTTGAAGTGACAAATGTCACAAATCAACATAAGAGCAAATTTGTGTGGAACTAAAGTTCATGTACTACCACTTAGATTTATCATGTGATCTTGATATCAGTGTAATTATGAAATGCACAAGGTAGTAGAAGTCAATTGAGGCTTACTAGAGGCGCAAAGACCGGCGGATGGCTTGGTGAACATGATCTCAAGGGCCAAGGCAAGGGTCTTGTAGGAGCGATGGGCGTTGAGGTCCACCTTCCTCCCAATGACCTCCCCATCCATGTTCACCTTCACCCACCCGGGCACCCGGCCCTTCTTCTCGCCCTCCTCCTTGTCTTTCCGTGAGCCGGACTCATCGGCGGCGGCCTTCTTGGTTTCGGCATCGGAGGCATTGTCTTTCGCCTGGCCGAACAGGCTGTTCATCCTGAATGTTCTTATTGGTGGCCATCCCACCACTCCAAAGCTGCTGGCAAACCAAAAAAACATGTACTAATTTGGATTAGTCCAGGTGAGGCTGGTATGGGTAGTAGCTCAGCAAATCAGGTAACACTGACATCACATCATGTTTCCTTTTAGTGCCATGCACAAATCTCGAACTGTGGTCAGACAGATGTGTTTTTGCTGCATCAGAATGGCAAAACAACCACCGGATAATCTCGGTTCTTTTTTGTTTGCACTATTTTGGGAAGTGTAAGTAAACTAGAGTAGTAGGCAGTAGTGCAGGTGTGCAGTTGAGAGCTGAGAGTTTCATTCAGACAGTGAAAATCTTGCAGGTTTCGGTACGGGATTTGCAGGGAGGTGGTAGAAAGTCAGGGATTTGAGGGACGCAGCGAGGCAAAACTGGTAACTTTGGTCGGGAGGAATCACAAATTTTTACTCTTTTTTATTACCAAAGAGGCAGAGAAGAGCAAGAACGAACCTCTGAGGGTGGCCGGAGGCGAGGATCCCCGGCGAGGCGGCGGGCGCGGGGCCCTCCTCCAGCTTGGCCGCGGCGGGGGAGGAGGAGGACACGGAGGAGTCCGGGGACAGCGCGGCCGCCGGCTGCAGGTCCCTGGCCGTCAGGATACGGCACGGCGCCGGCGTCACCGGCAGCTGCTGCTTCCTGGAGCCGAGGTAGAGCCCCAGCTCGAGCCCATCCTCCTCCTCCTCCTCCCCGCCGGAGTTCTCCTCCACCACCTCCTCCGCGGCCGGGGGCGGCTCGCCGGGGCCGAACGCCGCCGCCGCGGGCCCAACTCCTCCTCCTGGCCCTCGCATCGGCTGGTTTCTTGGCTGTGCTCGCGTGTCTGAGCGTGGGAGGAGAGGGGAGGGGAGGCGCCTCGAGAGGGAGGAAAGGGAGAGAGGGGAGGCTATGATTATGCGAGCGGGGTACGACTCCGGCTGAGCTGAGGTGAGCTGAGGTGAGTGAGTTCTCTTCTGGGTATGCGTGTGGCCGTGTAGTAGTAGTACTAGTGTGCAGGAAGCTATAGCTTTCGCCTGCTGCTGCTTTACTGACGTGTGGGCCATGGGGTGCCGGGATGGGGGCTTAATTGCTACGGAGAGCCAGATGCTTGTCTTGTCCATCTCTAGACGAATCAAATCACACAGGTGGATTTAAGAGCCTCTTTGAATGGCACGTACTAAATCAGAGGAAACATGTGGGGTGCCGCCATTCATGCATTTGATTGGAAGGAACGGGGTATCAGGGCTGTCGAGGCATTTTTCGTAAAACTGTCTGAGACGCCAAGTCCATCACCGTAGCCGGACAAACCTAATTGCAATAGACGGTCGGAAAGTCGTCGTGCTAACACCCTAGAGGACCAATGTACAAAAGGGAGAAGAAGGTCTTTATCGAGAACAAGAATGCAGAGACCGGGCGAAGAGGATGAACATGAAGCAAAGGGGTAAACATGCAAGGTCCACTTCGTGCTACAACAAGAGGCAACAGGACGGTACGATACGACGTATCTGTACCGTATTGACATGTACATCAAAATATATCCATACGTATTCATAGTGTACAAAGACTACCCGTGTTTGTAGCATTTTTTTGGGTGCACTTGTGTGCATGATTTTTTTTAGCAACTATGTATGGTGTAGTGTGTTTTTTTAGCATCAGTACAGACACAAGCGCTCATATACACACGTATACAATCATCTCTATGAACGCACACACGCACACCCTATCTCTGTGAGCACCTTCGAGAGACTGAGCCGGCATATCATCTTGAGATTTACGAAGCCTCTCGTCGTCGACGGGAACGTCCTCTCCCACTGAAAACGTATTGTCGGAAATCCTAAAATAAATCCAGAAATAATGCGAGCACCAGAATTTAAACCCTGATGGGTCGAGGATATTACTGTCCACCTAACCATCTCAACCATAGGTTGGTTCGTATGTATGGTGTTGTGTGGTGTGTGAAGTTGGATGCGTGCACTTGGTGCGTAGACACTTTTTTTTTGTTGCGGGAGTGTGTGGCACGACGGCAGGCGCACGTAGCGTTTTGTTTTTTTGATTGATGTGTTGCCCGTTGTTGGAGCGGCCGGGCCTTGCTTTTCCGGGGCGTACGAGATTGGAGGGCCACGGAAAAGGGGAAAAGATAAAAGAGACCCGACGCAGAAATGGGTGGACAAAAAGGCCGGGCGTCCCTCCGTATCGCCGCTCGTTCAAACGCCTTGGACGTCCAGCTCCTCTCCTTTTTCTACCACAGGAGTAGGATGTTTTTCCCTGGCCGATTATCTTGCCGGAGGGAAAACGAGCGACGTGTGTCCAAGTAGTAGTAATTCCGTATGGGCAGACAGAGAACGGACGTTTTCTACCACTAATCAATGCACACGGCCTCAGGCTTGTCTCACACGCACGCACACCTCTCTCAATCTCAATCTCAATCTCAACCCCTCTCTCTTGAAGGACAGAAAATGAGTAAGCATTTCGAGTAGTCCGAAATAATGGTTTCTGTCAGCAGCAGCAGCAGGAACGGCTTCTTGGGCCGAGCCGGGTTCATGCCATGCATGCAAGGAAGGAGAAGAAGATTCCCTCAAAAAAAAAAAAGGAAGGAGAAGAAGAAGAAAAATGATCCATGATCCGTCGCCGTCGCCTGCGGCTGTGTGGTAGCAGTCGTGTCCTGTGGTTACAGGAGTCACCGAGGCAGGTTTGTGCACGTGCCGCGAGCAGAGCACGAACACGTATGGCCTGCCCCCTTCCCTGGCACGTCCTCCTACCAGAATGGATCGAAAAAATCGCATCCAAACTCTCTTGCTTCTGCTACTTGTACAGAAGCACAAGCTCCACTCAAGATACGAATGTGGACCTACACTGTTCTGCATAATGCACTGAGTTTTATTTGCAATACAAAATTACACTGACAAGTTTAGGATCGAAAAGGAAATTCAGAATGAGGAGTTGAGCGTTTCCAGGTTTAGTGCCTCTCAACTCAACTCAACAGGCTTCTCAGCAATCTTGCTGCCTTAACAAAGCTTGATAAGATTCTAGTGCACCCTGTCTACGAAAATTCAACACGAAAGACTACATGTCAAAGAGAAAAGAGAGACACAGGTCATCATTCAGAAAGTGCATTGGGTAGATCCGTAGTGGCGCGAATCATCTTTGCAGCGAAGGTGACTTATGCAGCGACCGCAGCTTTGCCATTCTTAGCTGCTTCTCCCTCGGCTTTCTTAGCTTCCCTGTCCTGATCCTTCTTCTGTGCCCTTATCATCGCACGTCTTGCCCGGGGGCGCATCTCACGCACTTGCCGTGGCGGCATGACGAAAGGCTCGAGAGGCCGGTCGTGAAACGGATGCTCGCCTTCAGCAAATATCCTCAGCTTACGATCCCTATCCTGGAGAGTCAAAAGCAGGAGGTGTTAACTGAGTATACCATCATAAAACTAGTGCATGTTAAATGGTAATTTCAAAACGAACTTCAGAAATAATTAAAAAAAATCTGATCATGCACCATGAACAGATTGGTTAACTTCGTAAACTTACCACGCAAACTAGACACGAGTAACATAGTGCATATGGGCGAACTTCTCTCGTGACTTTTGCTTATGTTATACAGACTGACATGTCATGGCTCAGCGTATAATAAGAACAATAGCATTATCACCAGTTCATGGCGCATGGTAAAAGTGCACGGTCTATAACAGGGTAACTGTTATTCTAGTTAATACGTACTCCCTCCGTTCCAAATTAGTTGACTTAGATTTGTCTAGATACGGATATATATAGACATGTTTTAGTGTTAGATACATCCGTATCTAGATAAATCCAAGTCAACTAATTTGGAATGGAGGGAGTAGAAGATTCAACACGAATATGCATACAGAAATCCAACTTACAGAGTATTCTGGTAGCAATTAAAGCTAGCATATAATCTTGAACCAGAAAAAAAGATGAACCTATGACCAATCCTTATAAACAAATAGAAATGAAATTTCACTTACATCACGCAATTTATTGCGGGGAAGCATGCGCATGACAGCTTTACGGATCACTTCAGTTGGGTCTTTTGCCATCTGGTCCTTGAGCTTTCTTTCCTTGAGATGGCCAATATACCTATTGGGGAAATGGCAAAATGCACATGAAACTATGACAGAAGAAACTTAATATAATGATACCATCATACCAAATAAGGTATAAAAAGGTATTTGCTAGAATTACTAACCCTGTATGCCAGTAGTAAATTTTGTCAGTCATTTTTCTTCCTGTAACACAGATATCTTTCGCATTAAGAACAATACACATGTCTCCAGCTTCCACATGAGGTGCATAGGTTGGCTTGTCCTTGCCTTGAAGCACAACAGCTATTTGGGATGCCAACCGTCCAAGTACCTATCACATAGACAAAGCAACTTACTGCATAACCAAATATTTTGACCTGGGCAAATCCTCATAACTGAAACAAACAGAAGAATTCTGACCTGGCCCTTTGCATCAAAAACACGCCACCGCAACCCTTCTAAATCAATTCTCCTCAACCCTGCAAGTGCTTTCTGCGCAGTTCAAAAAAGAAACATGTGTTAGTACCACTGTGCTAGTAATTCACATATTGGCACCATGGTTTGAATACTGCATTCATGCTGTTCAAACTATAGGCTGGATGCAGGAAAGATTCATACTGGGTAGAGTTATTTCAGGATTTCAATTGCAATGTTAGTTTCATTTTTCAGTGAGAGCCAAACTATAGCTGGATGCAAGAAAGATTTGTACTGGGTAGTTATTAGAGGATTTCAACTGCAGGCTACTTTCGTTTTTCAGGGAGGATCAAAGGGTTGCAGCTTCTTTCTGTCAATCCAATATAATCTTTGACCAACAATAACATACTCTTCCAAAACAATATATGGAAGTTAGGTAACATATTTTGCACCTTTCCATGAACAAGTTACTAAATATGTACTGTGAATTCAGTGGTGAAATGAGTGCACTAACAAACAATCAAAGAATGCCCTAACGAAAAATCAAAGAATGCACCTTTCCATGAACAAGTTACTACATGTACTGCGAATTCAGTGGTGAAATGAGTGCACTAACAAACTAATATCTCATTTTAACTTCAGAGTACGATATACTCCCTTCGTCCCAAAATAAGTGTCTCAACCTTAGTATAACTTTGTACTAAAGTTATTACAAAGTTGAGACTAAAGTTAGTACAAAGTTGAGACACTTATTTTGGGACGGAGGGAGTATGAAATCATTTCACAGAAGTCGGCAGAGGAGGAGGACAAGAATCTGGAGGTAGACGAGGGCAAGAAGTTGGAGGATGAGGAGGACAAGAATCCGCAAGGGAGGAGGGCAAGAAGCCGGTCGTCAAGGTACAGGTCTGATCCTTGCTGAATCTTGATGATAACTTCTCAGCTAGAACCTATGAATGTTCTCACCAGTTTGAGGAACCCTTGTATTTCCTGTAGTGTGTGTTTGTTAACGGAATTTTGAATTGGAGAGATTGCTGCGGTTGCTTCCAATGCTTGCAATGAGCTTTAGGTAAATGTTAGAGCTGTTGAATTTGGTTTGCCACAAGCAAGCATAAACTGCAACTATGATACTAATCTTTTGTCAGTGTAAAACTGTCTGCACTTAACAGCAAGGATCTCCAAGAATCCAGTTACCATCTGTTCTGTTCAGGCCCGTTGACAAGGCTGTGCGAACGGTGCGATCGCACAGGGCCCCCGAAATCTTGGGGGCCCCGATCAGGGAAAACCAACACAACATCCTGTAAAAAAAAGTTGAAACCTTCCCTCAAAAAATCAGGCTGATCTGATCTGATGCGGAAATCAGGC